CCCACCCCGGCCGGGACCCCGGACCCCCGTCCCCCCGAGGCCCCCACCCGAACGCGGCCCCGGGACCCCTACGCCGGGCCGGGCCATCCTCCTCGCCGAGTCCCCTCCCGACCCCCCATCCCGGGCGCGGGGGTGCCCTGCATCCGGATCGCTGGGCAGGGCCGCAGTGCCCGGGGAGCCCGCGGCGACGCCCCCTCCGCAGCCTCAGTTTCCCCGGGCGGTCCTGGCGCATCCTCGCCCGCCCCTCCCCCGCAGCCGCCGGCACCGGGTTCCCCCCGGCTCAGTCTGCGCCCCCCTCCTCCAGCGCGGCTTTGTCCCCTCCGGCCGCGGCCTGTGGCGCCCGCGGCACCATGATCGCGACCAAGGAGAAGAATAAAAGCCCCAAGGACAGCATGACGCTGCTGCCTTGCTTCTACTTCGTGGAGGTGAGCGGGGGTCGCGTGGCGGGGGCGGGGCAGAGGCCTCAGTCCCGATGGCCCCCCTCGGCGAGCCCACGCCGAGGGACAGGGGCGGGCACAGGCCGGGTCAGCCTGGGGCCGGGACACAGCCAGGGGGCCCGGGGGTGGGGGTCAGAGGAGTTGGGCTCTGCAGGACGAGTAGGAGTTCCGGAGGCGCAGAGGGTGTTCGGGGCTGCCGGAACGGCCTGGGCGAATGCCGGGAGGTGGGACCTTCCGCTGGGGTCCAGGTCGGTGGCTGGCCTGGAGGGGCTGGAGCCGGCGCTGGGGGACGTGAAAGGGGGTGGGGGTGAGGTGTCAAAGCGGGAGGGGCCAGGCAGGGCGTGGAGGGGCCGTCCCCAGACCCAGCCACAGCCCCTGTGGAGGGTCCCCAGCCGGAGGCCCAGCCCAGGCCAGCGGGCCCCCCACAGGCAGAAGATCTAATTATTTTTCAGATTTGCATTTAAATCCCCATTACAATAGGTTAAACCTTCTTGGGGTTCCCACGTCATGGGGGGCCGCTCCCTCCCAGGAGGTCCCCCTCCCATTTCCCAGTCCTCTCAACCTTGTGGTCCTATCCGGCAGACATGTGTCCCTTCCTGCACCACCTTTTAAAACACGTTTCTACTGTTGGCTTTTTTCCAGCAGTAATGGGAGATCTTTGCTCATGTTGTCCCAGGAAAGGGCATCCCTGTCCCTTTTCACTGCTGCGTAGTACTCCAGCATGGAGGCGCACACCCCCCACCCCCCCACCAGGCAGCTGGGCACTCGGGGGCTAACAGACGCTCCCATGAGGAAGGCCCTTTGGCCTGTGTCGCCCCGCACCAGAGGGAGCTTATCTGCAGGAGAATCCCTGGGGAGCAGGGTGTGGTCACTCCAGAAAGACCCCACATCCCCCGAGGAGCCTGCAGCATCCCCCACGCCCTCGTGGGTGCCTGTTCGCCCCCAGGCGTGTCGGCACCAAGTGTCAGCGGCCTTTTGGCTTCTGACCAACCCGGTGGTGCAGCACTGCGTCCCGGGTCTCCTTTGCATTTCCTTTCCTGCGAGCGTTACGTTCATTTTTTTTAAGAAGACACATGCACGCACCAAGTTAAGGACGTCGGCAGGACGTTCCTGAACGTGGATCATTTTCTCTGGGTCCGATGTGCTCTCAGGGGTCCCTGGCTTTCAGCTGAGGGTCTCAGAAGC